TAGTTTCAACTGGCATGCCGGGAGATCCAACCGGTGACCTCTGGGTTGCAAGTCCACCGTGCTGTTGCACTATATCAGCATCCCTTTGAGTGGTTACCACTAACACAATTATACATATCGTTCAGCAAACCAATTTACTTTATGCAATTTACTCATGACTTCCTTTCCCTGAAAGTGAGTGTCTTGATTTACGTGATGATTTGTCTTTGGCTACCAACCCTGCTGCTAATACACTATATTTCTGACGTGTATTTTTCCTGGCGGCATCTTCATTGAGAATGTTCGTTTATAGAACACTTCTAAATTGTACTACATTGTGCGAAGTCAACAGTGGTTTGCCTGTACGGCAGCTGGTCCACACCATATGAATAAAGAATTGAGGCCCAGTCATGGAGATGAGCATCACCCCCAGGCTCACGTGAGCCGGGAGACACTTTTACTTTTGACTTTGTAGCCATAACACTTAACGTATAGCTAAAAAAAAAACACATTTGTATTAACAGCTTCCCATAACCAATCCACCACATTGGAAACATATGCAGTCGGATAAGGGATGAGTTTACGTGTCGCATTCCGAGAACCAATTGAAATGGATGTAATGTAACATTTGACCGGCAATAATTACGTTACACTGCCATGTCCTGCAGGGATGTGGCCGCAAAAAGCGCGCGCCCCCATGTGTTGCCGATTTAGCGTGGAGTTTCAGCCGCTGTTCGATCCTGTGTTTGTGCACCGTATCAGCAAAAAACTTGCGCCTTCCGCTGCAGAGATTAGCAAAATGCCTTCCTGCACGTTCAGCAGTCACACGCCCAATTAATGGCATGTAGCTCAAGAACTCTCTTTCTTGCAAAACTTTTAAGTGTCCACTTTGGGTAAAAAAAAAGCTTCTGCAAACACATATTCTCTCATCCTCTGGCTGGCTCAGTTGGATATTTTTACTGCTTAAGCACAAAGTGTAAAACAAAACTATTACTTTTTTAAAGGATGGAACAATTCCTCCCAATATAATTTGAACTTCTCTGTATTTCGTCAGTGTTTTCAGTGGTTATCATTATGTAACAGACTTAATATTGGCAGTGAGCAACGCATGATGGGTTTTATGAAGGGACGTTGCATATCACAGTCGAGTTTCAAGTGAAAAGAAATGTAGGCTCTTGCATAAAGTGCTTAACGGATTGATTGGGAGGGGTGAAGTTACCCATGCTTCACCCCACCCCTCGTGGATCAGACGCAAAAGCGGACGTGCAAATTCAACCACTCACTCACTAACCCACTCATCCATCACACAACTCCGGTCATCCTCGCAGCTGCTTTTGGCTAGCTACCGAACAAAGATGGTCACTGCATCACGTGCTTTTAGATTCGCTTATACGGCCGTCTGGAATGCTCCTCCGATATTAGGAAGCCACTGGAGCTGTACACTTTTAAGTCTAGATTGAAAACTAATTTATTCAGAAGTGCTTTTTGTGTTTAGTTTGTTGTCCTTCCCCCGCACCTCCCATTAGCACGGTTGGCTACGTACGGTGCAGAAGAAGTTCAACACACATACAGTCTGGACCCAGATGGAAATTGAACCCGGTTACTCAAGGTTGAGAGACACTTACCTCCCATGCTACTTCATGTGCGTTCTATTCCATCTAATCTTACGGTGTTACGGGACATGCCGAGCCGCTAAGCTTGGCTTGATTGGCCGAAATGTGCATTTGGTGATGTCTCGCGTGTGCCTGGGCCAATCGTGTCGCACTAGCAAGCGACGCCTGCTCGCTATGCACGGTGCTTGGAGGTTAATTGAGACAGCAGTTAAGTGGTTGTGTTCATGACAATAGGTCAAGAAGGTCACGCGACCAACGGTCCTTGCGCAGTCTTTTGCGGTTGGCATTAATCAGGAGAAACGTGAACACAGCGCAAAAGTGAAAATAAATAAAGCGACTGATTTTAGAGGACCACGATATGTTTTATCAGAGGAATGTCCCGCTGCTAAAACACGTCACAAACAATAGCGCGGCAGGATGGCGCAGTGGCAACACTCATGCCTCACACCCAGAAGTGCATGGCTTCTCTTGCCTTTCTGTGTAGAGTTTGTATGTTCTTCACCTGTTCTGCATGGGTTTCCTCTTGATTCGCTGGTGTAACTGGCCAAATATTCCAATGCTGAAGAATTACCTGCATATTACAAAACTGGGATTACAGATAGCAACATCGCCCCCCCCCCCAACTGGGAAAAAAGTTGGCAGGACCCTCATTAAAGAGAGTCTTGAGACTGAGGCTTTCCTGAGTAAGCAAGCATAATGAATACTTTCGATTTAAAGCTTTCGTGACTGCAGGGATTCATAATAAAATAATTATTTTATTATGTTTTATTTTTATTCTTTTATTACTTCCCTTCTACGTGGCTTTACCGAAAGAACCAAGAAGATAATGAATACTCTTTGGTTCTTTCGGTAAAGTCACCTAGAGTATTAAATAAAATAAATCACGACGTTTCGATCGCAACACAAGCGGTCGTCCTCAGTGGAACTGCTGGATTATATTTTTTACGTGACTTTACCAAAAAGAACCAAAGAGTATGGTTTCCTGCAGTCACGAAAGCTTCAAATCAAACATAATTAATCATAACACTATGTAACACGATTTTTGTTCCTGGGTAATAAGTGTTATTTGCTAATTGCTTCTGCCTCAAAAGTATAGAATATGTCTATTATTCCCCACCAAAAAATAATACATTTGTTACACAGTGTTATTAATGGAGTGAATTATTAACTTTTTTTTGTGTCCTGGTCACAAAAGCAAAGTTTGTGTGGAATAATAGCCATTTTCTGTACTTTTGAGGCATAAACAATTGGAAAATAATACTTACTACCCAGGAATAAAAAAAAAATAGATTTTTTTTCTTACACAGTATAATCATAATATCACCTTGTTATATGTGAAAACATACTAGCTGGTGGCACTGCTTCCAGAGCACTTAAGTTGCACTTGGAAGCCAGCAGCTTCAAACCCCGTAGGGAGTGCCACTTTGTGGAAGTGAGCAGTGGTCATCCTGTAGAGAGACTGGCTCCTGCCACGGGAACGTGGAATGTCCACCACTGGTCCAGTGCCATCAATGGTGATCAGTGCCGCCTCATTGGTTATTTGAGCAGGGAAGCACTTTTCCACTTCAAGTGTGTAATACATCTTATAGTCCACTATAGACCATTTATTGGCAGGTGTCTTGACAACTTGTTGTGGTGCAGCATTTTTGGCAAACAAATAAATATGAATATACCTTTGTTCATCTGTCCAAGTTAAGGTAAAAATGTATTTTAGTCCATTAGCTTGTGGGCCCTTCTAGCCTTCTAGAAGAATGTTTAAATAAGAAAACTTGACTGGTTTCAACTTTCCGTGTCTCATCAGTAGTCAGCCTTGAAGGTACTGGTCTGCAAAGCCCATAGGCACCAGCAATACAACGTGCATACTTAACTTGGATGTGGAGAGAGGAACAGAGGTCTATTTATAATTTAGCAATGATATTGCTCGCAAAACTATCACAACCCATGTTTGACTTTGTCTTAAACACACACATGTAATTTTGGCTGGGTTATCTTGAGTTCAGGTGCTATAATCCATTCGTGTGAATTTATAGATATCAAACCTGTGCTGAATTTAAAATATACATCCGTGCATATTCATACATACAAGACAAATATCCTCTTTTTAGCCATCTACATTCCTAGAGGAAACGCCGTTAGCGAGTATTTATTTAAGGTGGCATTGCACGTGACCACATTTACAGTACAATTTGGGAATAATAAACCACATCTCAATATGCTGCACTCATGGAATAACTGGGGCATGGAGATAATTTACAGGAAGCTTTTTTTTCAGAGCCTAGGAAAAGAAGGGTTAAAATGCTGCAGGCCATAGAGGGAAATGAGATAATGGTAAAGTAAAGCTGCATATGATTACACTTCATACAGTCGACCGTGACTTCGTTTTTGTGGCCAGCACAATCCATGCCAAGCAACCTTTGCATCTGTCTCAAAGACAGATATGTGAAGGAGACATATTGTCTGTTTATCTATTTCGTTATTAATATTCTCCACAACGAAGCTAATGATTGTTTTGAGTTATGTATCGTATAATTACGTGTCAAACGAAGACCATGTCTTGAAGAGAGAGAGTCCTTGCCTCTAACATTTGGCATTGCACCAGCATTGATTTAAGCAAACCTGACTCTGTCAATGAGACAGTCAGGTTTGCTTGCATTGAATCAATGCTGCTGAAATTACTCACTCCCAGAAGGCCATGGGTCTGATCGATTATCTAAAGAATACTTTTATATTTTCCACGTGAAAATACAAATATATGAAAGAGACATTGTCTGATTATTTATTTTGGTACCACACCACGTGCTACTTTCATGCTCCGTCGACCCTTCTACCTCCTCCCTTTCTCTTGCATTCCCATTGTTTTCTAGATCACAGCTAGGATCACCTATTGTTACAAATGTTTATCCTCTTCTGGTCTCTGGCTGTGATCTGGCGGTGCGTTTTCCTGCTGTTGAAAATACTAATACATTTTAAATAGTCCAGTCAACCTAGGAGATGTCCTGGCTAGGCAAAGACAACGATCCTTCATATAGCCTTAGCAGACTGTTGGGGCAAGTGCTGTTAGCACCAATGAAGGCCACCACGGTACACGAGGGGTGGGTGGCCGCACCATGCCCGACCGCCTTTGTTTCCCCAGTGGCGATGTTTTACACACCGCACCAGATACTCATATGAGTCGACCTAGTGGAGGCTCAGGACCGGTTCAGATAATTGTCACTGGTGTTGGCCATGGGTGGGAATCGAACTCTGGTCGCCGGGTTCGTAGCGCAGCAAGCTAACCACTACACTACCGGTCACACACACACACACTTGTGTGCATGCATGCACATGCCTATACAGGCATATCCTGGCCTGCATCTTATTTTAAAGAACGTGGCGGTGCGTCTGCCCGTCTTGTGCACGCCATCGCAGAGGCAAGCCCAGTGGGCATGACGCGGACCTGCTCATCACTCACCCAGAGGAGGGCCGAGAGATCGGGCTGCTGACCTGGCTGCTGGAGGAACTGCAACACCAGGTAACGCGGGGCAAGAATTACGGCCTGACCGTGCTGCTGACAAGTGTCCTGAGAGGCCCCATGCACACGTACTGCCACAATGTGGCACTCAACTTAGAGGGTTTGAAGCAAGGGTGGCACAGTCGGGTTTTTTACAATCCGGTTTAATTGTCTTTCTATATTAAACCCGATCATCTGAGATTGGGAGAAATTCGGTTTAATTGGTTTTAATTGCAGAACCGCACTTCGCCAACTTCTCAACGATGGGCTCCATCCATTCCAAGCTAAGGAACTCACTGGCGCCCACGATTGTGGAGAAGCTCGTGTTCATCAAGACCAACCTGCCCGCCGCATTCTACGACTACCCCGTGCCCGACGGCCCCCCGAGTACGATAGCAGCACCGACGAGGAAGCAGCCTAAGCCTATCAGAATTTCGTATTCATTAAACCAGCTTTTAATTCCCCGAAATCGGGTTTAAGTGTATTAAAGAAAAAACCCGATGCCTGCCGCTGGAAAAATCGGGTTTTTTCCACCCATGGTTTGAAGTCGCTGGCTTCCAAGTGCAAGCCGAGTGCTGGAGCCGCAGCGCCCATTGCCTTGTATTGTTCCGCGTGTGAGGAGGTCGTATTATGATTGTTATCATCATCATTCATTACATGTGCTTACCCAGGAGAGCCTCCGTCTAAAGACTGCTGTGACGCATAGATAGAGAAACTCGTGCAGAATTAATTCCATAAACTTAGACAGGCATTCAATGTAGTTGATTGGCCTGAAATAGCAACTGAATGAGTGCATCAATGACACAGATGATGCATTTAATTGTGAGGCATGTAGGTAGAGGGATGTGCATAATGAAAAAATTAACTGTGTTGTGCTCATTTTTCAATTATGGGAAATTACAAAATAACCTGTCAGGGTGGTTTGTTTAATTCGCCAAATAAATGTACATTTAACCCATTAACCAAGAGGTATTCCACATTAAAGTACCCTGGTAACATTTGTTTAATCATGGCAAATCTACATGTACGCACATATTATATTTCATACCATTTCACTTAGTGTCAAAGTATAAAGCGATCTTGATGTTGTAAGAATGTAAGTTTGCTTTTCTTTGCGGGTAACGTAAATAATTATTTATAATTGTAAAACATTGAGAGATTAAGACAGATTTAGAAAAAGATCGATGAAGCACTCTGTCGAGTAGATGAGCCTTTAGTCTTTATTTAAGGGAGAGGATGGGACAGAGGGAATTCGATTGCTGATGTTCTGATCTCATTCTGCAGGTATTGTTGGGACTTTAAGCAAAACAATTATTCATTTTAATGTTCTTCTGTTGATACGTAAAAATACGTTGATATAATTGATATTCCGAACTAGCGATTAAAATATGTCAGAATAACGCTGGTCACAATGGTCCCTTTGACTATGATGACAACAGCAACAGTGTACAACACACGGCTGCCAATCAAACTGTAAAATATAGGTGCATTTTTCTTTGAAATTCTTTGGTCGCAAGAGTGAAATGGATTTTCAGCCCAAGCACCACTTTGCTGGCTTTCAATGAAGAGATAAAAAAGTGCATAGGGATCATACCATTTCACTGGGTCGCAAAGCCTGAAAAATAGCGGCTGCATCTTCAGCTTTCATGCTTACATGCAACTCGTACAATGTCAAACAAATAAAATGCCCCTAAAAAGTGTCTACACTGCCGTATTTCGCTCCACATTCATCATCCTGCACAAACGCTGCAATGGCAACGTTTTAGTAATTTATAAGTCGTATAGGGCTGTGTTTATGGAGGAGGTACATAATCCACTCGGCACTAAAAAAATCTTTGCAAGCTGTTTCATGTACAATTCCATTCACCTTTACATTGGCTAGTCTGCAATGAAACTGGTGTGTGCATCAGTTGTGGTGGAATATTTTGCGGTTGTCTCTTATTCATCGCAACTTCTCTCGCAATTTTATGAATGCCAGGCTAAATTCCACATTGAGCATGCAGGCTCCATGTCTACGACCAATGCATAAACGTATCTTAAACACAACGTAATATGTTCATGAACACATCAATAATGCCGAGGAGTCAACGGCAGGCGAAAGGGGCGCTGCGCCCCAGTGTCCATTTGTTTTATGTGGGGTGTTCACGGGTGTTCACTTTATAGCACTTGCCGTGGCATTCCGCAGGATGAAAAGGGGCCCCCTTGGGGTGTGCTGTTCGTGTGTGCAGGTGATAGACAAAAAGCCAACGGCAAAAGTGTCTCCCCTGCTTAAACGAGCATGAGAGCGGCACTAATTTCCATTGACAGCACTGAGCCGGCAGAGAAAATTTCGTATTTTCATGCTTGGAGCCAGTCCTCTCCGTAGGATGACCACTGTCGGCCTCTCACAAATCTAAGAATATAATTTTGACAAACATACTGCGATTTGAAGCTTTTGTGACTGCAGGAATTACTCTTTGGTTCTTTCGGTAAAGACGTTTATATTTAAGGCCTCGACAGAGAGGCATTGGGTCTCGTGTGTGTCTATGTTGTGTGTCTCTCTCTCTGTGTGTCTCTGTGTTGTCTCTCTCCGCTTGTGTGTCTCTCTGTGTGTCTCCGTGTCTGTGTTTTGTCTCTCTCTCAAATTTAGGTCGACCTGATGACGGTTGCTTGTGTTGCATTCGAAACGTCGTATTCCATTATTTAATTTATTTTCTTTCGACGTGACTTTACCGAAAGAACCAAAGAGTAAACATACTGTGTTTGGTCATGGGGGTTTTTTGGCCATGCTTCACCATTCTCAGCACTGTGGGTTGGTGAAGGGCGTGGGGGGGGGCAGGACAGGTTCAGGTATTGCTCTCCATTAATGTTAGCTGTGGCCAGGAATTGTGCAGTGCGCTAACCACTGTGCCACTGCTCCACCATCCAGGCTCATTACTTATGCAAAAATACCCACAGAGGAATTGGTAAAATATCCCAGTCAGATCCCTCTTCATAAAAGGAGCCGAGGCTCAGCGAGGCTTTATTAGTCAAATGAATAAATCTTACCGTTTTACTTTTCTGTTTACTTTGATATTGAATTGCTTTGGGTGATGGGAGGAGACATGGAAAACGTAGGGATATACTTTAAGTCACAGGTCCATTGCTATAGAGTGCAAGTCTTAAGCATGTCGATAGCCACACCTGTGATTGCCTTTCCTGATTTTTCAGTCACGTGCAATGCACTTGTCCCCAATGTTAGCAGGAGTTCAGATGCCAAATGCTGCCACCATATATTGTCAGTCCATTGAGGCTCGAACAAGAACACAATAATTTATACCTTTCCCATCACCATGCATTCACCAGGTGTATCTACAATCGTGAGATTCTCAGGGTTTTTGCTAAATATTTTTTTGAAAGGGACATTTTAGCCAATTCGTAATCGAGTGATGTATATGGATAGGAAACCCCCACGTATGAGGGAGGAACACTCAATTCTAAGCACATAGGTCGCCAACCTACTGGATGCACTGCCATCCCGTAACTACAAGTTCTAGTTCATGTATTAGGTGTAGCCCTGCGAGCCATTCGGCTCTTGAATCGGGTGCAACCGCAACAAACAAAAAAACAAAAACATGAACAAGAAAACATCTTAAAGTGACTATGTGCAAATAGAAAATCCAAGAAAATACAGCAAAATATTGTAGAAAAAGCACCGTACACCAACACTGTGTGCAAAAATCCCAGTGGGATGCATCTACCTTATAGCGCTGCAGGTTGGGCGTCTAACGCACGGCGATGTAGGTATGTTTCACCTACTCGGCATTCACAGTGCAGGCTGACGAGCACGCCACCTTGCCTAACACAGGGAAATCAATGCTTAACTGAGTTCCATCAATGTGTTGTGGCTCAAACGAGAGTAAAGTCACACCTGCAAGAGCTGTGCTCTTAGCAGCAGTAACCAGTCACAGTCAATATGTGAGATTTTAGGGAGCCAACATTCTGCTAAAAAAGTATTCTCTTTTACAGCCTCCCCCAAACCTAGGAGCATTTCAGTCTCAATGCTCCAAAGCAAACATGCCCTTGCGTGCACCGCATACTATTAAGCATATTAATAATGTCATGCAATTTGTTGATTAGAAAATATATGCTACGGAGCACTTTTTATTTAATATTTATCTATCTGCCGATAATTTTACATCCGCCACCGAGGTGGGTGGTGTTTGGAAATGAACATTTATTATGTTCATTTTTAAATCGTGTCCTTTATCGAGTGTTGATCGCTCAAAATAATTGATCCAACAAAAAATATTGATAATTAAATGATCTTGTCTGGCAGCGTGCGCGTGTGAGTGCACACACGGCTGTTGTATTAATACATGAATAAAAAAAATTCCCAAGTCATTTTGCATGCTCCCCTGCTCTTTATAGCAGGGGTGCGTGCGATTCGCATGTGTGCATTTTGTTTAATTCAGCCAGACAGATTATTATTGGCCGCAGGATGGGGGAGTGGAGGTGTGACATGACGGCACAAATCAATTAAAAGACGCGAATGCACGGTGCAACGAAAAACGTGGTGAAAGGCCTGCGCTATAACAACTCCTGAGCCACACTGCACATTGGAGATTCATGCTTTTGCTTCCCAAACTTACACAAGGAAATCATTGCAATTGCATGGACATAGCGTTGCGTTGCAACGACGGTCACCTTTGCTAAATAAAGTCGTTTAGTAAAAAGACATTTGTGTTACGCGCGCAAACCTATATTGTGAATTATATAAGTACACGTACCACCATTTTTGTCAGCTGGCTGACTGCTGGTTAGGGCCTCCCCCAGCATGAAGTACCAGGCAGTACTCCGTGCTGGTCAACGTGGGTTGGTGAAGGCGGGCAGCAGAGACAGTTCAGGATCGGATTTTGCTGCAGCATAGACCCACAACAGCGTACAGTACATCTGTTTTGTGCACTGTGGTCGCCAATCCAATACTAATAGAGGCTCAATCTCTGCTTATCTTCAGATGTTTGATTAGATTGGGCGCATTCCAAGTAATTTGGTCATAAGAGAATGAAGTATATTAGTAAACCAGGTTAAAGTTCCACACATGTTTGTAATTTTTTTGGCTGGATGTGGTTTACTATTACGACTATTACTATTTTTTTTATTACCAGGTAAGGCCCACTGAGCTTTATAGCTGTTCTTCAGATGTGACCTGGTCACAAATGATAGCTCAACAGAGTGGATTTTGTGCAAGTTCAAAGCAGCCAACTACTCTAGACGCACGTTTCTAAATGTGGAGGGAAAACCCGGAGGTCTCGGAGAAAAATACACTCGACCACGGGAAGACGTGCAAATTTCAAATATGCTGGAGTCAGGGTCAGGATCAAACCCACGACCTCCTGTATACCAGGCGAGGTAGTTAATATCTCCTAGCCACCGAGGCGCTCCGTTTAGTGTGCTTGCCTCACAACTGGGAAGTTCTGAGTTTAAATCCCCAGTTTTGCCCATCATTCCCCTAAATAGATTGAATGATTTGCACTTTGTGGGAGGTCAAAATGGTTGTCCTGTGGAGGGAACGGCCCCCATCACAGGATCCACAGAGATAATTTCCCCCCCTCCCCACTCCCCATCACGGGAAGGCACAATTTCCATTGCTGCCTCAGGGCCACCAGTAGAGATGGGGTTCCGCTCCATTGATTGCATTGAGACATTAATTTTATTAAGACTGTAACAAAAATGTAACAGAGTATAATAATAATAAAAATTGGTACAAACTTTCAAGCTTGTATTATTTTACATGTGATGGAAAGGTTTATGCTGCACGGAATGCATTTCACGGGAGAATGACCAAAGGCAACAACTTTTGAAGCGGCCTTTCTCAAATTTCACCTTTTTAACATGTGTGTGTAAATGTCTATACATATATAGGTCGACTCAGCCGCAAATGAGAACCTGGTGCGATGTGTAAACATCGCCACGAGGGAGACAAAGGTGGCCGGGCGTGGTGCTGGCCACCCTCCCCCTCGTGTGCCGAGCCGGCCTTCATATGTGCTCGCTAACAGCACTTGCCCTGACAGTCTGTTAGGGCTATACGGGGTTTGTTTTTGTCTATATATACAAACGAGCTTTTTTGCCCGTCCAAGGAGGGGTGTATTTTGCAGAAAATCTGAAATATTCAATACTAAGTGTAAATTTCCACGCGGACATGAATATTAATTAAGACGGGGGGGGGCTCTTTTGCAGTGACGTCACGCATGGATGTAGCACTGTGCTGCTTAGATTTCTTTTTTACCGTCACTTTTTGTAAAGAAACGTCATATTTGAAGCGACTTTGCGTAATCAATTATTTAATTCAGCTCCTCTGCGTGAGTGTAAAAATCCACCCACTCATGAATATTATTGAGGGGGGTGGGCCTCATGTGGAGTGACGTCACGCGGGGGGGGGGGCTCATGTGGATTGACGTCACGCCCGGGACGGACAGACATTTCTGGGCAATTATATTCGGTAATATACGAAGGGGCCCAGGATGCTGCCGCTGCGTAATGGTGAACACACTGCCATGCAGAGGTCACCGGTTCAATCTCCTGCTGTGGAGGTTAAAACAATGGGGCACGTTTCTTAAACCCACCCCCAACCGCCTCTGTCCATGCCGGCAGTTTAAAAAGGAAGACCACATTGAGTCGATAGGCAGGTCGCGTATGGTGGGGTAAAGTGTGGGTACTTGCCACCTCTTCCAACATGCGTGGCCTGCCTGGAAGTTTAGGCCAAATGCCCTCCAGAGGATATGTTAGCGCTGCCTCTAATGGAGGATCTTCTGCCAGCAGTGGCGAGACCCGAGCAATTGCAGGGCCTCACTTTTATCTTTGACGAATGAGCTGGCGATGGCCGCACACGAAAGAAGAAGGTGCCCTCCCCTCAGAAGTTAAACCTTTTGACTGCCGGGCCCGTGATACACACAGCCTCTGCCGTCTTCATCAGATTCCTGCCCAGCGACACTGCCTGGCCGACTGGCCACATGGCTAGCCAGCCGGCCTATTCACGCATTTGCCGACCTGCACGGTCCCCCGATAACGATCCAACCTTTTCCCAGAAGACAGCTGATATCATCACCGCGTGCGCGGTGTCGTGTGCTATCCTTTGGCTGGCCATTCCTTCACGAGGCTTGTTCATCAGCAATGAATATATCCTAGAAAATGTGTGCTGCCCATGCCCAATTAGTAGCCAATGTGTGTCTAATTTATATTTGTTCCCCGATTCATTCGTCTTATTTCTCGCAGTGTTTTTGCAGGCATGCATCTCTCCATGCTGCTATGTATACTTGTAAGATATTGTTCCATATCCTTTGTTCGTGTCATTGCTTCCTTTCCGTATGCCATGGTGGGTAATATGCAATGACTGAAAATATTATTCTCAGAGAACATTGGTGTGTTGCTCTTCACTATAAAATTGGTTATCGAAAAGCATGCCATCCCCATCTCATCTACCTCTATTTCATCCCAATCTGCTATTCACCAATCTGCTATTCACCAATACATATCCTGCTGTGATTTCCAGTAATATCTCTCTTACAATTATTTTACTTTGTTTATCCAGGACTTTTGTTGTCCAGGACTTTTATGTTGCGCATTTTTTATCTTGAGGCCGACGTTTAAGCCACCTTCATGAAGTTCTATAATGATTTATTGTTGCATATTTTCAAACCAATTTTGAGAGAATCAATTCTGAAGTTGCTTTCAACAGTCTGGGTAAAAGTGTATCCTCTTGTCTCACTCATTATATTATTTAATTTTACATTTAATGTCGGTGTAGCTACTCCATCGTTATAATAGTTGTTGATATATGTTTAATGAAATTCCTGGTATGTGAGATCTTGAATAACTGCATCAGTTTCTACCGAATCCAATGCCTTATCATCATCCACAAAAGGCAGGCATAATTTAATTTTAATTAAATTGTATTTTCTATGGTAGAAAACACATTTCTAAATTCAGCTTGATTCAACTTGCTGCATTATTCAGTTCCTCACAATATTCATTCACAATTCATTCGTAGGAGGCTCATCGGTCTCATATTCGTTCAATCAGTTTTGTCTCTCTCTCTGTTACTATAATTATTGAGGCATGCTTGCATTATTGATATTTTTAAATTTCTCTGCAAACAATTAGTGGATGTCTGCTATTGCTGTTTCAACAGCTGGTGCATCTGCTTTGATGTTTGCATCTATTCCGTCTGGTTAAGGAGATTTCTCTCTTTTTATAATGTGTACAGTAGTGGTTAATTCTTCAAGTGAGAAATTTTGAACCTCCTACTCCTCATCTGAAATGTTTTATTTTTTTCCTGAGATAAATAACTTGTTTTGCTCGAGACCTACGTAAACTTACTCCATTATGATTAGAATTCTGCCCCAAATAGTTTTTTTTAACGTCTGATTTTCAATATTTTCTCTGAGACTTGCAACGGTGGCTGCCCTTTTTAGATACTGGTCCCTGTTATACGAAGATGTAATTTTCACCACTGGCAGTGTGCCACCGAAGAAGAAGTCAAAAATGTCTCCATACTTAAATGAGCATGTGACAGTACCAAAACCACTTCCATGTCGTGCTTTGAGCCAGAGGTGAAAATTCCACATTCCTATCCCGAGAGACGATGCTGTTTATTGCTTCTTCAATTTACCTTACAGGGATACATCCTTTTTGCAGACTACAAGAAGAACACGTACCAACAATCTAAGGCTAAAATGCACAGCAGCAGCAGCATGGATCAATTCGAGCGCTGCTTCACCATTTTCAAACTTCCCTCGGACTTAGGTAAAAAGTGCAAGCGAAGGGGCGAGCGGGCGCCGTGACACGGAACATCCGGCGGTGGCGGCGGCGGTGGCGGTGGCGGTGGCGGCGGCGGCGACTCGGCACGAGAGCTCAGCAGATGGCGAAGGAGGGGCCGCGTGCCCCGCCGAGACCGACGCATCAGCGGGAGGAGGCGCCTGTCTCGGAGCGGCCACGGTGCCCGCGCAGGAGCTGGAGAGCCGTCAGAGTGGACCTAGTTGTTTGCCCTCACAGACAGCATGCGTTTGCCCTTCTGGGCTGGACGGGCTCCCAGGTGAGTTTTGAGAGGGGGGCGGGAGAGGTGAGTCACACTGCTGCCACGAGCACCATCTGCTCGGGTGACTATTGAGGCGTAATTGGAGAGTTTTCCGGCTGTGTGGCCGCTGTGGTGAGATCGCCCAGAAGGTTGCGAGTTCAAATGTCGGCCAGAGGTCGACTTGGCCCATTATTGTCTCTACATGGTCAATAAAGTCAATAACCACCTCTTTTGGAGGAAAACAGTGGGTGTCATACAAAGGCACGTGTCTCCTCCATATGAATGTGGAATTCCCACCTCTGACTCTTGCTTGTCAATTTGAAGTGAGCCATGTACCACGCTCGTCTCAGCATAAAGGCCGATACATTTTTTTTACGTTAAATTTAAGAAACTAAAAGATTCAACCCATTCATCATGGAAACAATTTAAAAACTTCTGAATTATACTCTTTGGTTTTTTCGGTAAAGTCACGCAGAAAAAAAAAAGTAAATTAAATAAATGAAAACAACTACATTAAATCACGATGTATCGGGCGCAACACTTGTGTTTATTTTTTTAAAATGTCTTACATAACTTTACCGATAAAAACAAAGAGTATGAATCCTTGCAGTCACGAAAGCTTCAAATCTAGAATAAAATGCTGAATTATACTCTACTAAATTAACATACATGTTTTGTGGGAAATAAATAAACAAAACTGATTATTCTAAGTATCTGTTCAGACAAGCATCTTCATTCCCAGACCTGAGCCAGAAGTGAAGAATTAACCCGAGAGTGGTGGGAGCCAGTCTTTTCATGGACTAAAAAAAAAAATCCTTGTAGAATTAGATCATCGTGTGTAAGGGAACGATATCAATTGGTCCATTGGAGGACTGTGAAAGGAGAGATGGCTTGGGAAGGTGTTCATCCAGCAGTGGATATATCACGGCTGATTATGATGAATCTTTTACCTTAAAACTGATTTAGTCTGTAGACTTATTTTTTTACAAGGTCCCTGCTTTGAATGTTTGGCATATTCTTCTTTTGTTGTTATTAAACAAACGAAAATGCCTGCAGGATATTGCAAATGAGCGAACACTTAAACTCTACTTTACAGATCACCCTTTTCATAAACTGTTCTGAACTGCCTCTAATGCAGTGGTCCTTCACCTTTAATGCAGCCTTGCACTCCCCCCCCCCTCCTTTGGTTCTCAATCGTGAAACGCATGTATAATGGTAATACATGCATAGGTTTGATGAAACAAAGTAGTTGTACTGACGTGCCCTTGCTTAATTTGTCTTTCTCGATAATTCACCTTCTCGAAAAATCTGGCCATGTCTCGCATCCCCAGAAAGGGCATCTCCTCGCACCCCCAGGGGGTGCGTGCACTTCAGGTTAAGAACCACTGCTCTAATGAGTGTCACCTTACTGCCCATGCAGATTGGTGTCTGTACGATCCACCAGCCCCAGGACCCACCAAATACCAGGGCTGCAAGTGTGCTCCCACTATGTCTGGCAAAATGTGTTGGAGAAATAATTTGTTTCACGGATTTTAGTTTTTTTTTACTTGAAACGTGTTGCCAAAATTAAACAGAGACATGCTTGTCTAGACATGCTTAATGATCACATTACCCTTGATGGTTTTGTGGAGTATTTTGGGAAAATTGAGTTTTTTGGGTCAAAATTATTTTTAACAACCATTTTGCACAATAATGGCTTTAAAAACAATATGCAAGAAGTATAGCCAGATAATGATTTTATTTTACTGAATTATTTATTATAATGCCCCATTAGTTGCAATGCCATGTCTTCAGCATTATAATGAACCAAGTCGTTGGATGAGTGAACTTAGCTAGCATGTGCCATCCAGAGCTTTAAGGGGCAGTTGGTTGGTCTTATGGATGGATGTTTGCCTTTGCAAATCCAGAATCATCTCACTGACAATACAGCCTCAATCTCATTTGCAAATAAATGCCCCATTGGCCATCATAATGCACATTAAAGAATACTAATTTCGAATTTGTATATCATGTGCCATTTCCAAAGCGAAATTTTGATAATTAATCGCCATTTGATAAATTGTTATCATTTTCTGAATGGTTGCCATCACTAGACATGCCCTGAGACAGTGACATGATGATGTAGTGTATTCATCTAGAAAAGATCCACTGGACTTGAGACTTTTTTCCCCCAGCAGGGTCTCCTGCAGTAGAATTTTTTACCAATTTTTTTTTTATCATTTACCAAAATACAATCCGAGTACCTGGATGAATCCCACACACATGAAGGGGATAATTCTCACAAATTCGTACAGATTGCTCATCAGGTTGTTTCCTGTACTGCCGTCTGCTGCTTACCTTCCAGTCGACCAGGTTTGGCGTGTAATAACAAATGATGAAATCTGTGACTCTAATAAAAAAAACCCACTGCATTGCAGCCAATTATGTTATTTCAGCTATTGTACAATGCACAAAGGAAAACTGCCATGGTGTAATGGTTAGCGCACTGCATTCCAGGGGTTGACATTTCTATTTGGGTAATTTGCTGAAACAATTGGGCAAGTCCATCAAATCGCGCCCTGCCTCTGTCTACTCGGCATTATAAATGGGTACGCCGCAGTCGATCAGCAGGTCGCACTTGATGGGGTGAAGCGTGGGTATGCCCACTTCTTCCAAGATGTGTGGCGAGCTTGAGAAAGTAAGCCAATGCAACTTCTAGAGGGGCACTCTAGAGCTCCATCTAGTGGAAGCCATTATTTCAGTAGTGGCGTGAGCAAGCAACTTGAATATTTTTACATCACATACAACATACACTGCTTGTATCAATGTGAGTGACTGCCTGCTTAAGCAAGCTGAGGGTGGTTCTCGTGTCTGTCAGCGGATACGAGCCAGTGATGCAAATTGTAAATTCCTATTCATAGTACAATCACTGTTGACTTTCCACGAAATAATATTACATTTTATACCCCGGGTGAACGAGTCAAAACTTGACCGGGATATAAACTCATAATCTTCCCATTGTCAGTTCAACACTATAACCACATAGCCACCCAAGTTGGATCAGCTGCTCTGATTACATTAGATATGTTCTTGAATACCAATGTATAATACAATCATTATTATTATGAACTGCTCTTCTTTCACGACCAATAGTATTCATAATGAAGGGTTTTTAGGTTCGATCGCTGCAAATATAAATGTGTCGTTAATGTTGGTCACAGGAATCTTTTTGACCACATCTCACCACGCTGGTCAGTGTGGGCTGGTGAAGCGGGTCGTGGCGGGGAAGGGGGTAGCAATGCCAGGATAGGTTCCAATATCACTTGCCACTGATGTTAGCCGTGGCCGGGAATCAAACACAGTTTGAAACATGCATTTGATTATTTGGCTGATATAAATTACCACATGATAAGCCACTTCTTTGAGCTATCATTTGTGGCCAGGTCGCTTCTGAAACAAGAAGCTAATAGATCAGTGCGTTTTACCTGGTAAAATAAACATAGATTTATTTTTATTTGCTTACATTTCCGATACTTTGCACTCATATCGTGTTTATTATTATTTGTTGTAACTTTCTGACCCACCCCTTCCAGACATCTTTGAAAAAAAACTTTATAGCTCATCTGATTCGTCCAGTATAAATAAAGTTTCCGATTCTGTTTGATACCTCTGCATAACTGTTCGGTCTCCAGGACAATATATAGGGCAAAACCAGGAGGCTTTGGTGATGTGCTGACTGTAACGTCATTTGGCTAGGGTTGCTCCCAGCAGGTACACAACCTCAAGTAATTCAGAAGGCATCAAGGCACGAATTAATTTTCACAGCTACCAAATTCTGTGCGAGATCTCTCATTCCAAGATAAACATAATAAGATATAAAAGTCCAGTCCTTAAAAAAAATTAATTCCAAATTTACATAACCGTTCAAAGTGACAGTTCCCCTATGCATTGAATGATCAGCATAGGCCATCATCTTGGGAATTTGTATTTCTCCACTGTTATGCACAATGCATACAGACTGATGATGTTTTCCCTGGATTTCATTATTAATACCACGCGCGTATATCCAAGAGCTTGTCTTTGCAAGCTTACATATCAAACTGAGATTAATTTTGAGATGTTATATCATTCTTAATTTTGGAGCTTTCGTGACTGCAGGAATTATTCTTTGGTTTTTTCGGTAAAGTCACGTATAAAAATAAAATAATAAATTAAATAATAGCATACGACGTTTCGATTGCAACACAAGCAATCATCATCAGGTATAATAAAATAGCGACATAGAATATAACCAGAAAACTATAGACAGACATATAAGCAGACAGATATCACCAAGATACATAGTGAGAGCAACCCAGGTACAGAGAGAGGTGATCGTCTCTGTGGGGTGGCCCTCTGTCTATTTAAGGCCACCCCACAGAGACGATCACCTCTCTCTGTACCTGGGTTGCTCTCTCTATGTATCTTGGTGATATCTGTCTGCTTATATGTCTGTCTATAGTTTTCTGGTTATATTCTATGTCGCTATTTCATTATACCTGATGATGATTGCTTGTGTTGCAATCGAAACGTCGTATGCTATTATTTAATTTATTATTTTATTTTTATACGTGACTTTACCGAAAAAACCAAAGAATGTTATATCATATTTAAGAAATCAGCAAATAAGAGGTAAAATTGTACACTGGTATGACCTTGAGAAATTTAAATAAATTAAATGTACGTTCTTTTTTTTTTAAAAGTAAAGTGGGTAGATTGCTTACATTTTCAGTGTTCTTTCCTCACTGTCTGGGTTTTCTTCAGGAACCTAGAGGGTTTTTTTGTACAAAAGCACTCAGAAATAATTGGAACAACATCATAAGCAGGGCCGAAATGTCGTGAGAATTATTTTATTATGTTTTATTTTTATTATTTTATTACTTCCCTTCTACGTGACTTTACCGAAAGAACCAAGAAGATGAATCCCTGCAGTCACGAAAGCTTTAAATCGAAATTGTTTTGGCAGTGGTGTAGTAGAAGCATAGGCTGAAAATATATTGCACCATGGGTCATTCATTAACCGGCAGCACCTCACAAGCGTGTACACCAAATACAATGCACTCGTATGTTTCAGGCTGTAGCCCTTCTTTAGGGTAAAAGAGATGTATACATTGCAAGGGGCACTCTCTTACATTGATGTGCCTTGACAAGACCAAACTTTTATTTATTAAAATAGGTCAATTAATCATTTTACTATTAGCAAATACAGTAATCGAGAGTGAAGGTTAATTTCGCTGATATTTTTACATTGGTAATAAATGCAAGATAGTACTTTACCTTTAGCCTGATATTCTAATGGCTGCAGTTATAAAGTATATTAAAATGTCCATTCAAGTAGTATGTTTTGATATTGACGCTTGGGTATTGTGTTACAATCTTTTGCATTAAGTGCATGACAGATGTTTATTTTGCTGTTTTTTTAATAATTGACCAATGCATTTTCAACGAATGCCATGAACAAGAGATGTCTTAATTATATATATCTGTTGGCTTAACAGATTCCTAAAGGATTAAAGTAAATATTTAGCATAGCTTGTATTCTTACTGGACCACAATACTCACAACCTTAGATGTATAAGTGCACGAGGTTACAATCACAGCAAATGTAAAAGCTTCCAAACTCAGAATGTTCCCTCTCGTGCAGAGCTAATCAAGATCTCGTCATAGACATCAGAAAATATTACGGCCAAAGTCACATTGGCCTGTGGTTTAAAACACTTATCTGCTAGCTTGCAGCAAAGGATAATAATCCATTATTTACCCAAACGATCCGTTTACCATTAATTAAGTCAAGTCAAAGTGCCTGTGTTGAGATGGGCCTTGGCATGGTTTAACACGTAGGATTTAGGATTTCGCGACCTATATTATCTGTAATAGAGGTTTTTGGGTTAGATCGCATAAATATAAATGTGTCATTAAACCTGCCACCACCTCACACACACAATTCGTAAGGTTTATCACGAAAACAAAACGTAACAATTCGTTACTAGTACAGCTCACCAGTGTGTTGGAGAGTAAACCCACAACATTGAGTATGACTTTTCGCCAGTAATTACAACTAGCGTCATCTGGAGATGGTGCTCCATCTCTCCTGATGGCCCTGGGCCCTGACACACAGAAATGTGGGGATTTCACCGTCACGGTGACAGATGATAGTCTCTCCACGGGATGACCAATGTTGGCTTCACACGAAGTGGTACACATTCACCATGTAATTCTAGATTTGAAGCTTTCGTGACTGCAAGGATTCATATTCTTAGGTTTTTTCGGTAAAGTCACGTAGGTAAAACATCAAAATTAATTGTTTTATTTTATTTTTTATTAATTTTGATGTTTTACCTACGTGACTTTACCGAAAAAACCTAAGAACATTCACCATATAAATACTGGAAAGATAAAAAGCCAAGTCAGCTGCCCTCACCGCCGAATTTGTTACCAACCAGTTGGATGTTGCACCCTTATACTACTGCATGTAGGTGCTTCATATTGATGTACTGTAGTCCCTATGTTACAACAACAATAACAAATTAAGGGACTGCTTGGCAGTGGTACACAACCAAAAATTAAAACAATCACCACGTTAATGATTATTTCATACTGCCTTATAACTGTTGTTGTTATAGGGTAATGTTTTGGAAATCGTCATTCTCTCTAAAACATTACCCTAAATTGCCCAGAATGTGAGCCTATTCTTCAGAGTGAAGGGCTATTGCCAAAATCATTACCCTATTAACTTTTTTTCTGTTGTAAGGCAGCTTTAATTATGAACGTTGGGGAGTTTATTTTTTTCACACTACATATATTTCCCCAGGATTCCTTCTCTATGGGATCTAATCAAGAGCCCACAGGGACACGTTATCCCAATGGACTCTAACCTGGCATTCTAGGGATTATATAAATCATGATACACATACTATCATGTATTTATATTAACTTATTTTGCACCGTACGTAGCCAACCGTGTTAATCGTAGGTGCGGGGTCAGGACAATAAACTAAACACGAAAAGCAGTTCTAAAGAAACAAATTTTCAATCTAGATGATTTAAAAGTGCATAGCTCCAGTGGTTTTTCTAATATCGGATGGAAGAGCGTTCCAGACGGTGGCAGAAGGGCACCTGAAAGCGCCACACGATGCGGTGACCGCCTCTGTTCGATGGCTGCTGCGAGGATGACCGGGGTTCGCGTGATGGTTTATCCTCCTTGAATGTGTATCACATAACAAAAAGGCTCAGTCCCTTTTACACGCACCTTTACATCATCCGCACCTAGTTTACACAACAAAGGCTCATTCCTAACAGCGTGCTTCAGCCACACCGAACCTCACAAAAATAATATTCAGGTGCCAACCTTGGTTCCTCCAACCTTTAACCAGTATATATACAAGGACTGTTTTCTTGGAATTTCTCTCACTTGATACAGCTATCGTGCTGTGACGGTTCCACCTGAAGACGGAGGCTTGTGTTGCCTCCGAAACGTCGTGATTTTTATTTTATTTTTATTTTACCTTTATTAATAAAAAAAAATTTACCTACGTGACTTTACCGAAAAAAACCTAAGAATATGTGTATCACAAAGTTTCTCCCATATAGCCGTTTTACAGGCCTTCGAGGTAAGTTCTGCTAGCAAGCATCTATTCAGGCCTGCCACAGCACACAAGGGGATGGTGTGGCCCAGCCCACGCCCAGCCGCCTGTCTCTCCCACTGCTGGTGTCTGCTAACTGCAGCAGGTACTCCATTTAAGGTTCAATCAATCTAGGATAGGGCCCAGGACCGCTTCCGATATTCGCCGCCCGATGTTGGCCACGAGCAGGAATCGAACTGGGGTTGCCGGCTTCGTGACGCAGTGCCCTAGCCACTGTGCCGCCGATCCGCACAGTGTGTAGCACACGGACACGCACGTAATGAATGTATACTTGCGGCAGGTGTCCGAGCACCCTGAACTAAGCTGATAAATGTTGGTTCTCATCCCCTCTGCAGATAGGTCAAAAACCACCAGAAAGCAAACGGCAAACACAGAATTTCCGACGACCGTCGTGTGTACCAGCGGGATGATGTTTGCACACCCTGTGAGCGACTGTGATGTGTTTCAGCAATTTGAAAGGGATTTGAGACGATACGCCAGCCACGAGAAGAAGATGAGTCTCAACAGCCACCACCTGTACGACCAGACACAGGTCAGCTCCGGGGGTACACGGGCCACAGCTGCAGCCACCGCAGTCAGCTGGGATCATGTTTACATTTCTGCGTCGGATCACCGTCAATCCGGCATGTGTGTCGAGGTCTCCCACTGGCAAATCCAATCGTGGCCACCCGGGCCTGAGCCACGAGGCAGGCACTGAATCTGTGAGCGTGTCTTCCCAATTTCATAAGTGTGCCATCCTCCAGACAGGATGTATTGCGGGATTACCATTTTATTTTGCAGATGTTTAAAATACCAGTTCACGAAAAATTACTCACAAATCCCACAGCAACTTAGCACTGCATGACACCGTCAGGACGAAATAAGCCGGCACGTAACAATGAATTCTGTTTACCCACATCTGGTTAAGTATACATAGGGCGACTCTACTTGCGGAGTGATGCATGTAAAAGCGGGTTCCATATCGGAGCAATCGGCGGTGCAACTTGGCTGCATGGAACTGAATCGCTTATATGTGGACATCCGTGCAATAAGCAGTTGTTCAACTGATCGTTCACAGGATAGATTGACGCGACTCTCACGCGGTCCGCTCGGCGATTTGTAGCGACGCATTCCATTGCCCGCACATTTGCCAACGGCAGTTCGTTACAGCCCAACTGCTTGCGCAGATGTAGGCAAAGCGGTCGCGGGCGACGATGATACGCTTGTGCAAGTTCGCGAGCGACCTCGTCGCGCGACTGACAATCGCTCTCAGGTGTGGGGCCGGCTTAAACAGCAACCTTGGTCGACCAGAGGCACACGCAGTTTGATTCCCTGCAGGTGGGTTTTTGAGGGCTTTGATAATGTTCGTGCATTTGATTTCGTGCCAGTCAAAGCAGCACTATTGGCTACATATGGTGCAAAAAGAAATTAGACATACGTGCAATTGCAAGTCAATTAGCGGGGGTCGCCTGCGGTGGAGTGGAGTATTGGGTGAGCTCTCTAATTCCAGTCTGTCTGGCAAAGCTATGAAAGGCACAGGGATTCCTAAAATGATTTTAAAGGCTGGCACAGTGGCTAGAGTGTGTAGCTTAATATCAAAAGCTTGCCATTCACATTTATCAGCAGAGAGGAGAATCGTGGTGCACCTTGACTTAACTCCTGAAAAGAGTCAAACTTCTTCGACTTTCTTTTAAGCAAGCACCATGCCGTAGAACTGGCTTTTGGCTTAAACACTTTGCCAAGTGACGCTGTGCAGTCGGGCAGCGTCACTTGATTGAACAACGTCATGTAGCTAATTGTCTCTGTATTGCTCATGCTACTACTGCGGTCATTTGGTGTTGATTTTGAGAACTCTTAGGTTTTTTCGTTAAAGTAATGTAGGGGAAATAAATAAGTAAGTATATATTAATTCCTTATTTTATTTCTATTATTATTATTTATATTTTTTACCTACGTGACTTTACCGAAAAAAACCTAAGAGTATGAATCCTTGCAGTCACGAAAGCTTCAAATCTAGAATTGATTTTGAGTGTTCGGCCCTCAGGGAATATCGGTCCCTGAGTTATCAATTCACTCACGTGCACCCTCCAAAACTTTAAAGAAAGTAACAGTAAAGCAGTCCCGGGTGTATAAAACACCCCCTTGCGCTGGCTTCGCAGCCACGATAATTGTGTCCGGGTAGGCGCAAACAGGAGCGCGTCTGTCGACAGGCTCATGTTGCCGACTCTCAGCGAACCGCCTCTGAGTGTGATTGCACACTTATTGCTTGCATTAGTGAAATCAACATGGCTCACAATGTGAGAGCCATTTACTCTTTGGTTCTTTCGGTAAAGTCACGTAGGTATCAAAATAAAATAAATTAAATTAAATCACGACGTTTCGGGCGTAACACAAGCGTCCGTCATCAGGTGGGACAACCACAGCAAGAAATAATTGCTGAAGTGGGCGTCACGAAAACTTCAAATCTAGATTGAGAGACATTTAATTAAAAAAATATTTTGACTATGTAGTGCAATTATGAGACCTCCTTTGTCAGGAGCAAGATACAGTAATAGGTTTTTACCCTTTTATCTGGCACCAAAACTGACACCTTTATACAAAGGATCATGGCGTCATCTGGTCCAACACCATGTGAGACTAGGCTTTAAGAAAAGCCATCTCGGGTGTGGACCAATCAATTTCAAGGACAGTGCATATCATTATCAGAGTTTTCTCTTTTTGTTTGCATTTTGGCTGCTTGTGTTGTGGTTATTGCAAACATGATCCCTTGTATAAAGGTGTCAGTTTTGGTACCAGATAAACGGGTAAACCCCTATTACTATGGAGTGCAAATCAGCTCTTCGCACACTTGCCGATCCTAAATTGTCATGTTCTTTGTTTATTGAGTTTCGGTAAAATCAGATGATGGTCCGCAAATGTCTGAACTTTTGTCCTCTTCCCTTTCATGATGACACGTGACATCTGGGTAAATGCTAAGCACCCAGGATAGTACAACATCTGTCCAATGCCTTCTTAATAGCATTACCCCATTCACAGACAAGGTAGTTCCGACTGGAACAAAACAACACATGTCTTGTCTACCATTGTAGATGTCAGCTATTCTCAGAATTAAATCTTTAAAGTTACAAATTCAAATTGCAATCGACTAAGCTGATAATTCCTCTTGGGGTCAATACAACAGGTATAGTCGACATCATCATCAGCCGTTGTCTACTGCTGGATGAAGGCCTCCCAACGATAATGACTTTGTGGAATATAAAGTGGTTGTCCGATGCAGAAACTGGTCCCTACCAAATTAATGTCGAATTTCGACAACTGCATCACAGGCCCATGAATGCAGTTGAGTACCACTTAATACTAGAAAAAATGACTCTTCCCACCGAGTATTAAAATTAGGAATGTCTTTGAAAGAAGTCATTTCAGGTTTTAAATTATATTACACGTCATATCATACTCTATGAGAAAACAAGTTTTTTTTCCGGGCGGCTTCCTGCCTGAATTCCTGCCTGCCTGGCACTCGGCCACGTGTGCGGTGGTGACATCACCTGCATCCCACAGCATTGAGCCGGGCCGTGTGTCGTGCTGACGTCACACCTCTCCCCCACCCACCCCCCACCCACCCCCCACCCACCCCCCACCCTGAACTTGAATTCCACGAAGATGCAATGGATAGGAGAGGGAGATAGAGGTGAGAGGAAACTATGGAGAGGGGGGGGGCTGGGAGAGAGTGAAAGAGCATCAAATGGAACCGAGAGAGAGAGCAAAACGGAAAGAGGAGAGAGTGAGGGAAAGCGACGAGCAATGGTCGAGAGGATCAGGGGGAGGTAAGAGCGAGAGAATGAGCGAGAGAGCGAGTGAGAGAGAGCGAGTGAGAGAGAGCGAGAGAGCGAGCGAGCGAGAGAGTGAGCGAGAGAGCGAGAGAGCGAGCGAGTGAGCGAGCGAGGGCTACATAAAGCCCCGTTTAAAAAAAAAAAATTACGAAATGATGAACGAAACAAAGTGCCGAATACACCGAGCATCTTCTTGTTTCCACTGATCGTAAAAAAAAAGAGAGACTGAGAAGGGAAAGGGAGCGGAGGGAATGAGGACAATGAGAGGTGAGAGAAAGATGGAGATAGGGGGAGGGCTGTGGGAGGGGTACAGTGGTGGGAGCAGAGGAATATAGACGGAGGAAGGGGCAGAAGAGAGGACAGAAGAATAGAAATGTAATAATCCTTCTGAGACGGCTTCGGAATCGGTCCTTTTTATTTCCACTTCCACAATACACTTTACTCACACACTCTCCGTTGCTGGCAGACAACAGAGAGCGGGCATACTTCACACCAAGTCCCCACCGCGCACGTGGCACCCAGAGCCCCCGTACGCGCGTGGCTCTTGCTCTGCTCGTTCCCCAGTCTGCTCTCGATCTTTCTCTCTCTCTTAATCCCTTCGTCACGTGGTACCCCGCAGCCAATCCTCCGTAGACAGCATTCACCATTCTCGATGGTTCCCTGTCAATCCCGGGACCACGCCTCTGATCCGGCTCCCCATTAGCTGGGGCCCCGAATGGCCAGGCCACTCCCCCCTGCTAACACGCCGCGATCACGCAGAGGCCATGTTCCCTGTCTCAACCCTTATTGGCTACAAAGCAGGACCGGCAAGCCAATCCCCACGTGAACCCTCTATGGCTGTTATTACAGAAACACAGAGACATCCCCACCACACGAAACACAAAGAAACCCCCGTATAGCCTGTAAGAGACTGTAGGGGCAAGTGCTGTTAGCGAGCACCTATGAAGGCCGGCACGGCACACAAGAGGGTGGGTGGCCAACACCACGCCCGGCCGCCTTTGTCTCCCTAGTGGCGATGTTTACACATTGCACCAGTACTCATTTGAGGCTGAGTCGAGCTAGGGGAGGCCCAGGACCGGTTCAGATAATCGTCACCGGTGTTGGCCGTGAGCGGGAAACGAACCCGGGTCGCCAGGTTCGTAGTGCAACATAGCGCTAACCGCTACACCACCGCCCCCCCTCACACATCCACCCACCACACACCCACCACACTTCCACCCACCACACACCCCCACCACTCACCCATCCACCACACACCACCACCACACTTCCACCCACCACATACCCACTCACCCATCCACCACGCATCGCCACCACACTTCCATCCACCACACTCCCCCACCACACACCCATCCACCACACACCCCCATCACACATCCACCCACGCACCACAAACCCCCACCACAAGCATTAATGTCGTTTTTACTCTGAAACAGCTGTGCATGAGGCATTTCTGTCATGCCGAGTTAAGATCTTGAATGCTTACCTTAATTTTCATTTCAATTTGTGTCCAACTTTGGTAAGAGGAGATGAAACAGCGCAAAATGCCAGCGGGAAGGCACAGTCAGAACCATTTTTGGTTGGTGATAGTGGAAGTTAGTTCAAACTGCCATCTAACACACTTTTGCACCACAGCCCCAAGTGAAAATACTGCACTGACACAATTTCCAGCCAGCAAAGGGCTTAAGTTGCTTCTCAATTCAGCCACTACAAACCTTCGCTT